TTCTGACTAAAATTTCTGATAAAAAAAACTAGCAATTTTCTTGAAAAATACATGAACTATAGCCAATAGCAGCCCCTGTGTCTATGGAGCTCCCTTGAAACTATTACTACATGTAGGACTCACAAGTCAACAGCAGCATAGGACCAGGTTATAGCACCAGTGAAGGACAACTGGTGGCATATCACGTTAGCTGCTGTTAGACTGAAAGTATTTCTCCTGCAAATGTTACCCCAGGACCTTGAACTGACTGTAGATGAACCGACGCCATAGACCACAACACGACCTGAAGTATGAGATAAAGAATACTGACCATCTCTCTCCAGTATCACAGCACCAGATTGAGGCCCTCCTATCATCAATAATAATAATTGTAATTACTAATTTTTATTACTATTATTATTTATTGTTTTACCAATGTTTGAGGAACAATTGCTCATCGATCCAATAGCCAGACTTACTTTAGTTGAATTAAAATCTAAGTGATAATAACTTTAAAACATATACTGTGCTAAATGCTACATAACTCACTGCATCTAATGTAAGGATAATAACTATGTGAGCAAGTATTTATATAGCAATTGCGACTGGAGAGGCAATCAGTTATACAATCAGTAGTAGATGAACACTGAAGACTATTAAGCCATAACAAGCCACTACCAGTACTACGAATGCATAATAAAACTAATTATTAATCTCGTGCTAAAAGCTTACTATAGTCTGGACTCATAATTAATATAATCCGTGTAGCCTAGCTGCCTGCATATAACTGAAGCATCAGTAGGGCTGAGTGCATCATCACAGACTGTCCTCCACTCGTTATTGCAATAAACCTCAACTCGTCCTTCATGAGAGAAAAGCCCATCAGAGAGTCTTATCTTACCAGAATATGTTAAATTTGTTGTGGCTGTTTCAAAATTTAGAATTTTACAACTGATAAAGGAGGATTAATTTTTAAAATCATACTTACAGCATCTAACAATGACATCATCACCATCAATGCATCTGGGGTCAATTGTTGAACTGTGAGAGCATTGTTGTATTGTTAGAAAATCTGAACTAGAACAAGCCACGTTACCCAATCCAGGAGCATGACCATCAACCCCATAACTACAAAAAATACAAATAATAATTCATTTAATGTAAAATTACTACA